AAATAATATGTTATTGGTTAATGAAAGTAACAACCTCTACTTCTTAAACCGTATTTGGAACAAAAAAAAATAGTCACAATCTTTAAGAATCTACAATATATGTAACAAAATCACTGTCTCTGTTCAATTAGCTTGAATTTATTATATCAAATTAAATAAAATAATGAGCTTTACGAACAAAGCATTCTCGTTGAACTCCATCTTTCTCTGGAATATAAATCTAAGCAAACGCAAAGTGAACTCACTTTTCACAACAAATTCCACGAAATTGTTTGCTTTCTCTGGCTAGAAACTTTATCTGACAAATGAATTCATGTAATGATCAAAGATCGAACATCAAAGATCAAACTTTGGATAAACTTGTATGATTTCTGTCTTCCACAACCAAAGTTGTTGTTTCTCGATGTATGACTTTACACTTCCTGAATTGTTAACTCGATGCGAAAAACTCAACAAAAATATTACAACAATAATGAAGACAGAATTTGGCAAAGAAATACGGGCAATGTTACATTCACATATATAAGATCATGCCTAAACTAACTGAAAGGGTAATGTTTCTTTGCATTTAGAGTCGCGCAAATTACAAATTTTAATCCATGTAGTTTAATCATTCCTAATACTTTATGAGTTTTAATGAGAATACTCCATTTTTAAAAACATCCCCATCTGCTAAGAATAAAGGCTAAACTGATATGAAAGAATTCTAGAAAAAAAAAATCTTCCTTTCACTATTTAAATCGAGGAAACAAACAAAAACTTAAGAAATTCTTTCTTGTGTTTTAAAGATTTTAAAGAAGGGAAAAGTTTTATGTATTACGTTGATAAAAACAAAGTATAATACAATAGTAGTGAATTTATATAAAAGATAGATCCTAGTAAATTGAATAACTTAGCCTAGTTATAGAGAATTAATTTTAGAAATGAAGAATCAGATCTTTTGGCCGAAAACATTCTTAAGCTGCCAAAATCTATGCAATATCCTTAAGTATCCATGTGGACAAAGGATATCCATGAATCTTATCAAAGTGAATAGATCTTTAATTGCACACTTTAAAAATCAAATAAAACCCACAATCATTGTGCATGACATCCCACTGTCATACTAAAGATATTAATTGTTTGATCCCTCAAATTTTGTTTATAAACTACATATATACATCAACCTATTTGTTATATACATCAACCTATTTGTTATATCAAGTTGTATTTCGTTAGATTGTAATGAGCCACTTGACAACATAATGTTAACTCAAACTGAAGCACTTACCTGGAGTAGTTTTGAATGCTAAAATTAGTGTTTTGATGCTTCCTTCAGATTCATGTTCTTATAGCTCTGCCTTCTCAGCAATGTTCAAGAAGACTTCTTAGCATTGTAAGACATATGGATGTCCCATATGCCAAACTCCATTTAACTAATTTCTATCTCAGCAAAGAGCTTCTGATGCAGACGTGCACACATACACACACATGTAAACAGAATATCAGAAATGTTATAATATTAATACGTCTTCTGATTCTCCTTGTCGTGAGGAACAACAAATGCCAAGCATGACTTATCTTCCTCTTTTGGTGTGACATCTAAGTCAAGTCAAACAAAAAACTTAAGTTAGGCGCATGAGTTTATTAATAGTAGAAAATATCAAGAAAAAATTCTTGGTAAAAGGACATGTCTGAAGAATTCTTTGACAATCTCAATACATTTCCTGTCTATCATATTACTTGTGGAATTCACATCATCAAGACAGTAAAGTATGCCCTTTTACATAACTCCAATTTGATAAAATAAAATATTAACTTCCTCCATAGAATGTGTTGTCAAAATGATTGAGCGCACTTGCTTTATAGCGCCAATAACACTTGCAATGCTATGCCTATTAAAAGTGTCGAAGGCTTCTGTAACCTTAGATTCGTTATGATGTTTGACTTTAGAGTTGGCTACATAATTAAGTATGATATCGACGAAAATAGTTTTAGTTTTTGTAAAGATTGAATTGTCACATGATAATGTTATTACTTATTAGTATCTCTTACTTTAATATGTAAAGTATACTGTCCTTGCATAATTTTGTCACAATATGCTTCAGAGTTAAGTCTCAATGTGATAATGTCCCATTCCTACTTTGAGTTAAAAACTTGATAGTGTTAAAAACTTTAATCTGAAAGGCTACCTTCAAAATGTTTATGTGTATCCTGTTTTCAAATGGCGATGAGGACTTCATGAACAAACTGGAGATTGATAGCATGATTTTTCCCACAAAATGCTAATCAAGATTAAATACACCAGTGCCCAGCAAAGTTAGGGCTGACTCGTATCCGTCACTTCCTGATGAGTTAAGTCTCAATGTCCCAATCATATTTTAAGTTTAAAAAAAATATATATATTCAGCATTCACACATGGAAGGAAAAAGTCAAAAACAGAAGGAAGTACATCACCTGAGATGAATAATTGCAAAATGATGATCAGATGCTTAGCAATTTACTCATCGAACAAAGAACGATTTTGGATGCAATTTTCCCCGGATAAACTTGTATGATTTCTGGATAAACTTGCTAAGATCATGCCTAAACTAACTGAAAGGGTAATGTTTCTTTGCATTTAGAGTCGCGCAAATTACAAATTTTAATACATGTAGTTTAATCATTCCTAATACGTTATGAGTTTTAATGAGAATATTCCATTTTTAAAAACAACCCCTTCTGCTAAGAATAAAGGCTAAACTAATATAAAAGAATTCTAGAAGAAGAAAAAATCTTCCTTTCACTATTTAAATCGAGGAAACAAACAAAAACTTAAGAAATTCTTTCTTGTGTTTTAAAGATTTTAAAGAAGGGAAAAGTTTTATGTATTACGTTGATAAAAACAAAGTATATAGATAGTCATATATATACATTCAGCATTCACATATGAAAGGAAAAAGTCAAAAGCAGAAGGAAGTACATCACCTGAGATGCATAATTGCAAAATGATGATTAGATGCTTAGCAATTTACTCATCGAACAACGAAAAATTACAAAGAACGATTTTGGATGAAATTTTTCCCGGCAAATTTTCGGTGAAAGAAAAAAGGGAACTATACGTTTTTTCTAATCCAATATATGCAAGAGGAGAAATTCAGTTAGTTTTTAAAAGGAAGGGGAGTGGAGGAAGTGGGAGTAGTTGGTGGTTTTTATTGGTAGTTTCTATTGCTTGAAAATTTTAAAATTTTTGAATTTTGAAAAAAAACGTGTCTTGCAAGAGGAGAAATTCAGTTAGTTTTTAAAAGGAAGGGGAGTGGAGGAAGTGAGAGTAGTTGGTGGTTTTTATTGGTAGTTTCTATTGCTTGAAAATTTTAAAATTTTTGAATTTTGAAAAAAAAACGTGTCTTTCATATCTATTTTTAAATAAATTTGAATTTTGAAACTCCAAGAAAGTTGGAGGATTGTCCAAATTTTTTATATGTGTCAATTTAATGTTATGCCACTTGTCATCATAATAGTTCTTTGTCTCTCCTATTATATATTAATAGATTGGTGATACCTTCTTTGTTTTTTAGATAAATAAAACCCACCTTGTTGGTGCTGTTAGGCAGATCTAATTTTACTTTATGTGTTCCCTCTTTCCAGATTCATTTTTTTTTTCTCTTTTTCTTAATTTCTTTTATTTTCATCTTTGTGCTTCTCTCTCTGTACAATCTCATTTTTGTTAGTTATTTAGATTATAATAGTATATTTGCTTATATTTTCTTTTTCTAGTTCCCAATTTTTATTTATTTGAATATGCTTTCAATTTTTTTTTTTTTATCTAGTTAATATTATTTTTTCCTTGAAGATGAGGGTATACGCAATTACAAATAGAACAAAAAGCGATTTATTTGTTAATTACCATAGAAAATAATTGGTCTTGTGCGAAGTTAAAATTTTGAGTAAGGATATTCAAAGTATAAAGAAGTAAGCAGATGGAAAAACTTAAGAGAATTCGACATATACTATATATACATAAAAAATAATTTTAACATTATATATACAATATAATTTCCGGCAGAATGAACCCCTTGTGCCCCTTAGCTCCGCCCCTGTAATGTGAATTCAACTTATATGGATGATTGATTCACAAAAAGGAATAGTTGATGAGGTTACTTGGTAACGAACTGAGCTCTTTTACTGCTAAAAAAAAAAAAAAGATGACATTTGGTGGATGTCACAAGACACTTTTTTTTTTTTTTTAATTTTTAAATTCCCTCCCAAATTAGGAGGATCTATAGTGTTTCCACACTTTCCCTCCAGTGTGACTCAAACCCAGGACCTAACGATCGTGGGTGGAGGTGCTTTGAAGACTCTGACTTAGAAAAACACACTAGGAAAAGCTGTAGATGTGATAATTTTTTCATAAATTAATCCATTTTAGTAGCTTGAAATAATGCTGTTTAATTCAGCATTACATTTCTAGGGAGAAAAATAGTTCTTTTTCCAATCTTTTCTACAATGTAAGTACTCAACCATCCCCATAAAAAGGAAAACAGAAAAGAAAAAAAAAAGAAGCTTTTGTAGATGAAAATAAAATCAGTGAAGAAGTTAAAAAAATTCAACATTTACTATATACATAAGATAAAATAAAAATTGACATTTTATATACAATCCCACTTGTGGGATTTTACTGGGTTGTTGTTGTTGTTGTTTGTATATGAAATGTAATTTTCTAGTGAAATGAACCTCTTGCGCCCCTTAGCTCCGCCCCTGTTGTGAATATGACGTTTGGTGGATATCACGATATCTTTGAGAACTGACTTACAACAACAACAACAACAACAACAACAAGCCCATTGAATTTCCACGAGTGGGATCTGGGGAGGGTAAGATGTACGCAGTCTTACCCCTACCCTGAAAGGACAGAGAGATTGTCTCCGATAGACCCTCGGCTTTGGAAACTGACTTAGACAAGGAAAAACTGTAGATGATGCTTAGTGTAAAAATTCTGAAAACAAGATAAGGAGCCATATGTAATGAAAAGATGTAAAGATGAGGAACAAGAGGAGCAAATTTGAAAGGACAAGAGCAAGCTAAAATTATTGAAGTGTCGTTATAAGGTACAATACAGACATATGTTTCACTAATAGAATACATTGGACATTCAGTAGCTAATGTAACAACATGGGACCAGAGTCACCAGACTTTATTCTTGATCAGATTTTAGCCACTTATATCCAAATATCAGAAGTGCAGTCACCACCAGGATACCTCATTTCATGAGCTAAGGATGGACCATCAGGTTCTGCTCCGAAATCAACGAAAAATCTCGGGTTTATAGCAAGGCCACCTTTCTCAGTGTCAACGTCGATTTGTAATATGTGACCTCCTTTCTCCAATAGCTCGGGGTAGAATTGACGGTCCCATGTACTAAACAACGAGTTTGTCGCGTACAAACGCTTCCCGTCTAGACTCAACTGTATCATCTGAGGTCCCCCTCTCAATCGGTGTCCCTGGAAGTAATGCAGAAGGTCGTTTATATTGATTGTGCACATGAATCTAAAACAACAGTCGGGACAAAGGGGTAGATGTAAACAATCTAAGTTAATAATATCAACCATATTTGAGTTCCGCACCACAGATGAGACTTGGGAAGTAAACAAAATGCTAAAACTTGACTATCATATTTTTGGAAGCAAGGGAAAACCTACAAATTTTCATTTCCTGCAGCATTACTACAATTATTGAGATGTTAAATTTCAATTCTAATTACGGTCACAACTCTCTATATTAACATCCTATATAACAACCATTCACTATAAAAGCCAAGTTTTTCTCGGAACTGATTCTTATGTTATGTTATAGAGTAATATATATCATATATAACATCACTTCATTATAGCAACCAAAAAATATCGGAACAAATGAGCTGTTATAGAGAGGGTTGACAGTACCTGGACGTCTGGGACATCCACTTGGTATGTTGAACCATCTTCAGCCTCAGCAAGTACAGAGTTTCCTTTTTGAAACACTCCTCCAACAAATACTTGGCCAGTCAACTTAGGATTGGCAGGATCTTCGATATTGTACTGTCTAATGTCACCATGTAGCCAGTTTGCCAGGTATAGAAAACGATCGTCAAGAGAGATCAGAAAGTCGGTAATAAGACCAGGCATTTCCGGAAGAATCCAGTTCTGCACCTTCACCGGTTTTACAGCGATTGCTATCTCATGACCCCACGAGCCATCTGGATTCTTGAAAAATCGCACCATGTTACTTGTCAAAGCACACCCCACATATCCAATTGCTTCAGATGGATTATGCAAGAACCTTACCTATAAATCAAAAGAGGAAAACAAATATATTAATGTATTCAGCAGGATAAATCATGGCGCGAAGTTACAAAGGGGGAAGAGGGGAGTTTGATTACCTCTAGAGGCAGGAGCCCTGTGTTTCCAAGATCCAATGTCTGTTTTAGTTCACCACCAGGCCATGTGTAGACATGCAAATGCCGACCATAAAGCCCATCAGTAACATGCTGGAGGTTGAAACCTTTCGTGAAAGCGGATGGAGCTCCCCAAGAGGAACTGATCATGGTGTTATGTCGAGGCTGGTACCAGAAGTCATAACCAAAGAGCGGACTATGCCCTGGTTTTTCCCATCTAAGATATAAGAAAGGCGTCAAAATCTGCTTTCGCTTAGGCATTGATCATAGTCTACTTTCACTAAAACTACAGAATTTCAGATTTCCTTAATAAACCGTCAAGAGGACAGGAACAGAAAGTTAAGGACAAAATAGCATCGTTTCTGTTCCTCCTTAGATATAGAGACTCTTGTAATTTTCTTGTTCTTAACTACTAGGTTGGTTTTTAAAGATAACCATCGGCGAGAGACCAAGGCGAGTGGATACAAACAAAACTGATAGAGGTAATTCAGTTCGCGAGAGAGTACAAACTATACAGTACCTTCCTTTCACGTTAAAATCTGAATCAAGAAGAAGAAATCCGCTCCCCTCAGCCTTTCCATCTTTGTCTCCGAGACATGACACCAGTATCTCACCAGAAGCAAGGCAGTGAGCGGTGTGAGGGAACGCTAATCCTGTCTTTTGGATCACATCATCTGGTTGAACAACTTTATACAAACTGGGAGCCCGTGGATCCTTTAGCGTGTCGATTGCATAAATGCGTCCTGATCTGCAATAGTTAAAATTTATCGAAAAGCTTGAATAACATATATGTTGCATATAGTCATCAAAATGGATTCTTTTTTTCTCATGAACATTATAGGCGAGTCGAAAAGCTAAATTTTCCCTGCCTTCACATAAATATTCACATGGAATGGAAGGATCAAACAAAGACTCACATTGATGAAAATACAACAACAACTACGTCTCAGCCACAAACATTGACAAAAACAACTCACATTGATGATACAACAACAACAACTATGCCTCCGTCCCAAACATTGACAAAAACAACTCACATTGATGATACAACAACAACAACAACAACTATGCCTCAGTCCCAAACATTGACGAAAACAACTCACATTGATGATACAAGAACAACAACTACGCCTCAGTCCAAACATTGACAAAAACAACTCACATTGATGATACAAGAGGGTTATTATAAAAACATAGCACCATCCACAAGTTCAAATTTTATAATCACGGAAATCGTTTTGAGCTAAATTTAGCACAACTTGAGACCTTGGACCTGATGACTAAAGATCAATCACAAAACATAACAGCAGAGATATTGTTCTTACATAAGTGAAGGCAGGACGAGATATCGTCGAGCAGCTGAAGGATCACGATAACAAGAACTGCAAGAATTCCAACCAGAATGATGTAGTTCATCACCCTCATAAGGCATAGACAGCCTATGGATTACTTTGGAATAAGCTGGTGAATTAGGATCTACATCTACTGTAGCTAAGTAGTCAGGTTTTCCCCTTCCTGTTCCTGTAGAAGTTAACCATATAATCAGATGCGAACTAAAGATTTAAACTTTATAGGTTCAACGTTAATATAGTTTAGTGGAGTGTGAATAACACTATGATTTTTAAAAGAATATCACAATAACACTCAAGATTTCCCTTTGGCCCACAAAAGACAGATTATTTTAGCCATCAAAATCTTACAATAAATTTCCATAGCAAAGTTTATCTCTTCCCCTGCACCTACTCACCTACCCCCCCCCCCCCCCCCCAAAACCCCAAAAGGGTATCAGAAAAACAAAGAAAGAACCATACTTTTTCTGCAAAAGAAAAGATAAAGATTTCAATTTTCAACTAGTTTTACTTCAAAAATAAAATAAAGAAAGTGAAAACCCCTCAAATTTATCCACTTTACAGAAAAACATCCACCCCTCAAAGCAAAAAATCTCATTTTTCATTAATTAATTTCAAGAAAATAACACAAAATTGCCCCTACAGCTGGCTTTGGTCTAGTAGTAAGATCATAACTTGTGATATATGGATTAGGCGCATCTCACAGTTGAAATCCACACGACAATAATAATAACAAACTCAATATAATCGGTCCGTGAAGGATATAGTGTACGCAGACCCTTATCCTACCTTAAGAAGGTTGAGAGGCTGTTTCCGGAAGACCGTCGGCACCATAAAAACCCAGACAAAAATTATTATTTAAATAGAAAAGGATAAAGGTGCGAGCTCATTACCTCGAGTTTCGAACCATGAGCCACTGAGCGACTTGAAAAAAAAAATCTATATAAAAGAGAAGCAAATTACCAGTATAAATACAGGTGACATAAATTAAAGATTCTTTAGGACCAGCCATAGCTTCAAGTGGAGAAGCATAACCAGGTCCTTTTTTGCAACATCCATTAATCTCCGCCGTACCATGTTGCACCACCTCCACATCCGTCGCCATTTTCTCGCCGGAAAAATGTGAATTTACAAAAATATTCAGATCAGAAAAAGACGACAAATAGTGTGATAATAAGACTTTTGGCTTCTAACTACAAAGGTTATACATACATATATATAGGGAAACCAAACACGTTGGAGTCTTAGGACTAGTTACTATGTTCACGGCTTTTATCATGCAGCGTTTTGTCTGTATATAGACGAGATAATATTCTATATACATACTGATATTGCCCGAATATTTGGTAATATTTTCCTGTAAATTATTTTTTGTGTTTGGTCGGAGATAGTGGTAGAGCCAGAATTTTTATAAAAGAGTGTCAAAATATTAAAAAAGATAGATACATCAAAAAGTTTAGGGGAGTCAACGTATAGTAAATATACATAAAACGGAAAAATTTATCTAGTAATACAATGTAATTTTCCAGCGTTGTTGAATATGGCTCCGCCACTGGTTAGAGAGTGACAAATATTTTTAGAAAAAAATGTTTGAATATTTTGGTGAAATTTTTCGGTATTAAATATGATATATTAATAACTGTATGTCGATTAAATAAGTGATATGATGTAGGAATTGGAAGTCATTTTCCTCTTTTAGCAGAAAATACTTCCCTTGAAATGTAGTATAGTAATTTTTATCAATCAAAATCATAAAATAAACTTATTTTCTTCTAAAAAAATATTTTTTTTTCATCCTATCAATTATGTAGTTTATTTTCTAAAAAAAATATTTTTTTCATCCTATCAATTATGTACCAAACACACCCTTAGGATGACATGCTTGTATATGGCATTATCACTTTTTGAATGTTGTGACTGATACATGTCTAGGTGGAATGAATCAAATAGTATCGTGCTTATTTTTCTTTTTAAGTTTAGATTAATTTTCGAATTTATTCTAGGTTAATAAAAAGTCAAAATATTGCTATCCTTTGATTTGTGTTAATTTCAATGTGAATAATAGCGGGCCAGAATTTTTACTAAACAGATTTTAAAATATAAAGAAGTTACATACAAAAATTAAAAGGATCCAACATATTATAAATACACAGTAAAACCCATTGACACGATATATTTCTTACGACGAAAGTGTGTCAATTGATCCCTCGAACAAGGATAGCTTCACCGTGTAAGTATGAGTAGACTTTTTGCAATGTGTTATTGAATTATAATTAAGCATATAGTGTTATTTTGTACTTCATGTAGTGACGGAAATAGAATTTTTATCAAAGAAATTCTCAAAAAAAGAAAGAAAGTAAACACACGAAGGAATTAAGGGGATTCAACAACTTATAGTATCGTTTTTATATAGCTTTTAACCTTATATACACAATATGATTTTTCAGTAAATTTCCTACCGTCTCCCTGGCTCTGCCCTTGATACTTATATTAGGATACTAAATTGATAAATAAATTCTTGCACATCTTTTGCTTTTGAATATATACAACTTTAATGTGTATTATGTAATTTTCATGTCTTAATTTATCTTTATTGTTTGTTTTTAAAGTAAAAATAATAAATCATGGGACATACTCTGTGCCTTGAGGATTATCGTCATTTTAAATAAATGTCCAACTCATTGCAATTCGTAGTTTAATATTACATTAACACTATCAGATGTAACATCGAGATTTAGACAAATGGATTAACTCCACAATTAAATTAATATTATAAAATCCTCTCCACTTAAATAATGAGGGAGGGTGGAGTACGCATGAGATCTTTTTTGTTGGAATATGGAATTTGTTTAAGAGTATAAATTCTATGTACAACGTAGAAAAGATTAAACTCCAGGCATTTGCAGATAAATTTCGCTAAATACTTATTCACACCGGGTGTTAACACCAAACTATATTAACTCACTATGGTTAATTAATTTAATTAGATGAGAATGCACGTAATTTACCATGGTTAAATGATTAAAGTCCATATGCAAGACACATGTCATTTATCTATTGGTTTGGTGTAAACACCCGGTGCGGTTAAGTTTTTACCATAAATTTCTGAACAAACATCAATTGATAGCCCTAAAGATATACTCCTATCTGTTCCAGTTTATGTGAACATATTTTTTTTGTCCGTTCCAAAAAGAATGATCCCTTTCTAAATTTGTAATAATTTTGCTTAAACTTACAATTCTACCCTTAATGAGAAGATTTTATAACCACACAAATACTCTGATCTCCTTTTTGACTTGTTTAGGACCACAAATTCCAAAAGTCTTCATTTTTTCTTAAACTTCGTGCCCAGTCAAACAGGTTCACATAAATTAGAACTGAGGAAGTAAAGAGTAATTTTATATAACAATTAAATGTATTAATATTAATAAAAATATTTATGTTTTCCATCTATATAATTTAAATATTTTAATGTTTAGGTTGAGATCTTCACATGATTTCCCTCTAGGTCCACATGCTAGATAGTCATTATCCTGACAACCCAACCTCGTGTCATATAATAAGGTAGTAGATCTCAAATGATATTTGACAAATTAAGAAGAAATATATGGTGATAAGGTTAGTGATTAATTTGATTATCTCAAAGGTGTAGCTTTACGAGACATTTTCCTTTATAGTATTTTCAAGAATATTAAACTATTTAGTTGAATATTTAAGTAGTGCTAACTACTCCCACTATTAGCCTATATTAAAATAAAAATATTTATTAGATACATTTCTTGTATTTTTTTCTCAAAGGAGCTACCATCGCATTTCTTAGGTGAATTGAAAATTTAAATTTATGGGATCATATTTAGGGGTTTATCAAAAAAAAAAAAGATGAAATTGAAAAAAGAGCTACAAATAATAAAAAAATAAATAAATAAAATTAAGATGCACCTGACGTGGCGGTGCGCGTAAAACATTAGCCGCCACAAGATTAAGTTTTTATTTTTAGGAGAGTAATGGACAGATACGGATCCAGGATTTGAAGGTGATGGGGTACATGAGCGAACTGCTCAACCAGTGCCCCCCTCGGACTTTTGATTTTAAGGGTTTCAAGCAAAATATATGATCATCATAACATATATATACAATTATAAATGCAAAAAGAATTATCGAAATTAATGGGGTCCGGTGACCCCAATTCTCGAAGCATAGGTTCGCATGACATGAACAAGAACAGGGATAAGGGAATCCGCAAAGTTGAAGTGTGTAAATGATTTTTTTTTTTTTTTTGTAAAAATATTTAGTATGAAATTTATGTATTTTTCCTACTTCTCACTTAGAGGGTGTTTGGCTAAGCTTATAAGCTGGTCAAACTGGCTTATAAGCACTTTTTGGCTTATCTACGCGTTTGGTAAAATTAAAAGTGCTTATAAGTTAAGTGCTTATAAACAAAAAATAAGCCAAAAGCCATAAGTTGGTCTCCCCCAACTTATCAAATTTCAGCTTATAAGCTAACCACTTGACTCAATTGAGCCTCTAACTTGTGAATAGTTGCCTCTTGCCTTTCTATCTGCAATTGTTTTTCATTATTTTGTTTCAGAAGGCACTTTAACATATCCTTGATCTCCTTCAGGTCTGCATCCCCAGGTTCTTTGTTCCTGTTAACTTCACAAGAAAAGGTAGAACCATCATAGTAAGGGGTTGGGGAAAGATAAGAAATATAAGCACAACCATAAAAGTGATCATTTTTACCACCACACACATCACACACATTCCACAAATAAAATTGAGTTGGTGCACATAACTCGCTCTCGGGAACATTTTGAAAATTTTGCCACTGGTGGTTTCCTTCACAATATGTATGGAGATCAATAGTAGAATTATCTGCACCTAAATTCCCATAATTCCAAGATGTCATGTTTCTCAAATCAACAGTTATAAAAAAATACAAAAAAAAAAGTTCAAACTTGAACCCTAGCAATATATACAACTACAATTACACCGTTAGTTCCCCGACAACGGCGCCAAAATTTGATCACTCCCAACTATGCCTTATAAAAAGGACTAAGCGGTCGTTGCAAATATAATCCGGTTTACAAGTCCGGAGTCGAATCCCACAGAGAACTAAGGCTTAGCAACAGTTGTTCACTATCACCAAGAATACAAGCTTGAACAATTCCTAACTTATAGATATTAAGATTTTTGTGTTTAACTAACTAACTAACAAATTAAAATAATAAATTAACACTAAAGATACTACAGGTTGGAGAAAAGATTAAGGAGGTCTAGAGTTATGATTTTCCCAATTGTCGGAATCCTTCCTGCTATGTCTTCTATAATTTCACCTAAGTATTCTCTACCGACCACGAGCACTCTGCGTGTTGCAATTCTCTCCTGAGTAATTATGACAATTTACTAGACATACTCTCCTGAGTTACGCTAGCTGACTTTAATTACAACTCACTTAGATCGCACCCAAGGTTTCGTTATCCCTAATCCAACCTTTAAACCCTTGGTTATTGATTCCTCACATACGTCGGGAGTGATGTTGTTCAACAACTACCTAAATATGCACTCTCTCCCGAGTAATACATATTAAATAGGCACGGCTAATTGAGGGCCCTTCAATCAACCACAAGAATAATATAGTTGAACAAATAGAGAAAATACTATGGCTCAATTATATAAAAACATTACAAGAATTTATCCTTCAAAAGGTTCCATCAAAACCCTAGATAACAAATTAGATATTCATAATAGTATGTAAAACTACAATACTAAAAGTCATAACCAACAATAAAAAATAGGAAGAGGAAGGAAAAACTCGTAGAAGAATTCCCCGCCTTGATCTTATTGTGTCTCTGCCTCTTTAGGTCGAATCTGTGTCAAAAATATGTCCAACCTTCTCAAAATACCGTTTTTCCATGTATATATACCAAGTAGGGTTGGGCCCAAATAATTATACCTTCTCCAATGTGAAAAAGGACAAGTTTTCAGGCCTGGACTAGCGCGGGCGCGCTAGTAACCGCGCATATTAACAAGTGCACTGCCTCAGTCTGCGACCAGGTCCGAGATCGCGGTTTCGACCGTATTTTTTACCCTGTTCCGTTTGGAATTTGGAAAAACGTAAAACATGAAAGTTGTATCCCTTTGAGTTAGCTTTCCAACTATATATTGTGGAACCCAAATGGAGTTCTGAGCAAAGAGTTATGTGTATTTTACTAGAAAGTGCGCAATATGCCTACTCGATTCTTCGTTTGTTCTAACTATCATCCGTTGACCCCCGAACACGATCCCGGCTTAATTCCTTGAGCTTTTACTCAGACTTCAAAGCACCAAATCACTTGAATTCATTCCAAACATTTACATAGCTCGGAATCACTCCTACAAGGCATAAAACACACAATTAGTGCAAGACACTAGCGGTTAAAGCTCAAACTCAATTAAAATGCAGTAAATTTGAGTGTAATAGGCGACTAAAATACGCAATTATAGCCTATCATCACCTATACTAAAATAAAAATATTTCTTAGATATATTTTTTGTATTTTTTAAAGGAGTTACAATCGCCTTTACCGGATGAATTCAAGATTTAAATTTATGGGATAATATGTAGGAGTCTATCACAGAAAAAGATGAAATTGAAAAAAGAGTTATAAATTAATAAAGAAATAAATAAAATAAAATTAAGATGCATCTGATGTGGTGGTGTGTGTAAAACATCGGCCGCCACAAGACTAATTCTTCACCTTTAGGAGAGTAATGGACAGAGGAGGACCTAGGAATTGAAGGTGACAGGAACACGTGAGAGGTTCACTGTATTTGTCAAAGAATCCAAAGCCCTCCAAACATTAATTGTTTATTAAAACTTTGCCAAACAAATTAAACAAAGAATTGCTTAAATTTTAAAACAATTAAGTGAAAAACTTTATACATTTTAAATAGCATCATGTCCTAGATCTTGTTATAGTTAAAAAAAACTTTAGCCAAGCTTCCACTAATGGTACTCGAGGGATTAATTGATTAACTGTAAAATTGACTAAAAAGGACTTTGCTATTCACATAATCTAAATTGGGGAAAATACAATAGCATTTCAAGTATATCTTATAATTAAGGTCAACGCATTTTAAGCTATATATGGTTTTCATAAGTTAAATTACGATTGGTACAGTATAAAAAATCTTTTAGCTGTACATATTCCTCCCTGGAACAATAGGATGTGTTTTTTTTGACACAATTAATAATTTACTTCATTTTCAAATAGACCTTGCACTAACTTCTTTAGGAGTTATTACTTCCTTAGTAATACGACACATGTACTTTTTACCTAATATATAACGCAACAAAGTTGCCTAATTTCAAGAACAAACGGAAATTAAATACCAAATGTATTAGGTGAACTATAAATTTTGAACTTTTAGGACTAATAACATTATTTCTTGACTTCAAGGACCAAGAAGCGTGACAACCTAGAACAATATATCGGCTAGAAAAAATATATAGTGCATCTGTTTCAGCTATTTATATAAAGATTCTATAAAAATATGGGTTTGTTATATTAATAACCGACTAGATTCAATGCTTGCTTTTTCTAGCCTGTATATACAAATTATACTTTAATTATACATATATACATTAATTGCACGCGCGCGCGCATATATATAAAAACTTTTTTCTTTATTATCCTATACTAACTTTCTTATTGGATCATAGGTAGAACTGAAAAAAAAAAAAAAAAAAGTAGAACTGTCAAAGCGAATTGACCCATTTCAGTCCAATAAAATGGAATAGATTATGTAAAATGTTATGATATGTAAAATCATAAGTTTTAGAATTCACAAATACAACAAATTTGAGATCCTAAAATATTAAAAAAAAATAATGTTTTTTTATTAAATTATGCCGAATTAAATTATGTCAAATAAATTGAAACGACGACGAATGGTAGCCACTGATATCAGTTCAGTGAACTTTCCAGCTTTCCGTGAGCAGCTGCAAACCATTTCTTCATTTCTTCTGATGACTTTAGTTTACAAAAATCTTCTTTCCAAAAGTATATTGTTTCCCAATTCTTCAAATATTTCTTGCTGGAGAAAACCAATTTTAGAAAGAGGAGCTGGAAAAAGACTGCAAATTGTGAATTCCCAAAATAAGAAGAAATGTTTGAGGTGCAATACTCTTTATCAAGACAAAGATAATTCCCCTATTGCCTGCTCTTTCCACGGCCACACTAATGGTAGTTATCCTCTCTCAATTCTTGATTTTGCTGCTTAATTCCTGTGTTTTATTTTCTCTATATAAAGAATATGTGATAAGAGTTAATGTTTCTTGGTAGGAAATAAAAATGGTTAGAAATAACTGAATAATAAGTACTTTTCCGGTTCCGGAAAGGTTTTGGAGTGAATTAACTTAGTTCCATTGTCAAAAATTTAAGTTGTAAGAGTTGACCAAAGTTTGACTTTCGCGTAAATGACTTCGGATTGGTGATTTGATGGCATGATTTTGCCTTTTGTCTGAAGGAATCATTTTATCCCTTATAATAGGGCACATAAAGTAATAGCTCAAAATAATCCTTTCAAATTAGTGTTGCCTTCATGACATCTAGAGGATGAGATTGTAAAAAGGCAGCTCGGTGCACTAAGCTCCCTCTATATGCGCGGTCGGGGAAGAGTCAGACCACAGGGGTCTATTGTACGCAGCCTTATTCTGCATTCTGTAAGAGGCTGTTTCCATGGCTCAGACTATGACCTCGTGGTCACATGGCAGCAATTTTACTAGTTACGCCAAGGTTCCCCTTCTGAGGATGGGATTGTCCTTTGGAACTATTCCACACCATTAGCATGATTATTGAATCTTCGTCCCTTGTTTTTGTGTCGCATATATGTCTCTTATCAGAAGTTTCTTGTTACCAATTAGGTGGTCGTTTCACTTTATTTTATTTTTCTTCTCAAAATGGAAAAGGTTACCTGGTTAGCTATGTTGCTCGAGCTCTTCAAAAATGTTGTATCATGTGTGTCGGATCCTCCAACGTTTAAAAAAATTGGAGGATTCGACATAGGTGCGGCAGTATTTTAGAGGGTCCAAGCAGCATAGCTGGTTATGGCTCTGCATATTTATGAGGAAATTGAGCAGCATAATAAGTCCTAATTAAGGTGTTGGAGTAAAGAAGTTTTTAGTCTGTCGCATTGATTTTGCTAATACTTCTTCAAAGTATATATTTTAAAGAATCAATGAACCTCGCTCGCCTCAGTAAGAAGCTCATCTTATCCCCCTTTTGCCTCTTTCATTTGAAAATGGAATAAGTGAAATTAAAGTGTTAAGTAGATGAATTTGGAATATAGAAAAAAAGGGATTAGAGAAGAATTATGAGGCTGAGTGTTCCAGCAACTACTCCTAGTATTCAGATATTTCTTTGTACATTAGAGAAGAAAACTGGAAATGTGTGTGAAGAAGAAAGAGGAAGAGGAGATAGATAGAGAGAAAAGATTTAGGGCCAAATAGGAGGATGAGTGTTACACCATGACGGGGGCTGGGCGTACAAGGACGGGTCAAAGAAAAGGACCGACAGGCTTCTATAGGCTGGCAAGCTTATGAAGAAAGGACCCACATGACACATTTGATGAATCTCATACTGGAATAGGATAGGAAAATGAAGAGTTTCATAGGAAGTAACAGAAGTTCACATGGTACGCGTGCTATTGGATTCGATGATGGCGTAGACCAACGGACAAATCCATGAGGTCTGTTGGACCAAAGCAGAAAATATGTGTGATGGACTTGGGCAGTGACAATGGGAATTTCCAGAGATAGTCCGCCGTGCATTTGGATATCTAAAATTGCCACTGTCTGAATTTTGTTTTAGTCTGGAGCTATGTATGCAGTTTCCAAATATTCTTATAGCAATAGGTTTAGATAAATAGCAGTGATTGAGTTACCACAAAAGCCTTTTATCAAGATCACTGACTCTGGTCCTTATCGCCATAGGCGAAACCAAGATTTGAACCTTATGGGTTCGGAATTCTAAACCGTTTATGTTGCTGAGTTCCAAATTAACAATTTATACATATTTAATGGATATCTTAAGACAAATACAAGGTTGGACAACAGTAACTGGGTTCGGCCGAACCCGCAAGACCTATGCTAGCTCCGCCTCTGTTATCGCACATGATGTAATTGATTCTTTGAATATCTTCCTTTAACTAGACCTTTTGCCTTAATCCTACTGCGGTTGCTTTACATTTGCTATTTCACTGCTGAATCACTTAGTCTAAGATTAAAAAAAAATCCAATATTTTGAAGGCACTTCTCAGTGAGTCATTTGCTTTTGAACATTGCAGGAGAGAAAGGACTATTTTCTCTGGCTCCGCCTCACCAAGGAATCGATGGAGAATGGAGCGATGGATCTGGAGTAATCGTCTATAAGTGGAACGACAAGGATAAGAGGCCAAATACTGGAAGAAAAAACTGGAAAAAGAGATGGAGCTGTTGTTCTGAGTATGATGAAAATGCTCCACCTTGTAGGCAAGGATGGCATGTCTCATATGATGATGGTTTCACATTATACTAGTCATATGTGATCACTTCTAATTTAGCTATATTATATGTTCAATTGGCCTTATTTAGCCGAGGGTCTATCGGAAACAGTTTCTCTGCCCTTTTAGAGTAAGGGTAAGGCTGCGTACATCCTACCCTCCCCAAACCCCACTTGTAAGATTACACTGGGTTGTTGTTGTTATATGTTCAATTGCCCGGGGAATGCGATGACATACATAAAATCTTGTACAAATAACTCAAAATAGCAATAAGAGACACATTTACTTTGAGTTAAAGTGTTTATTTGATCACTAGCTAAGTCAGAATGTCTATCTGAAACTACAATAGTATCAAAAGCGAACTATTTTTCTTATTAATTGCAAGTTGATAGTGCGTTCAAGCGACCAACTAGGATTGTGGTGGAGTGCTAAGTACTCCTTCATCCTTAACCAGTGGTCTCGGTTTCGAGCCCTGGGTATGGAGTCGCCTTTGTTAAGGAGCATTTTACCCCGCAATGTTGGATTTCCCGGCGCGAATCCGGATTTGGTCGGGTCCCAATGCTAGTACCGGACACCAGGTAGGAAACCAAAAATAATCAACTTCAAGCTGCAATGATACGTCCTATACATGATATGATTGATTAATGACGATTCTCAACTACATTTTTAAGATCTCAAANTCGTGGGATGATGATATGGTATTCATACGGTGGAATCTGGGATCAGGTTCAGTGATTCGTGTGCTATACGGAGTCGGAGACTGGGAGTTCTCATGTTCCGGCTATGCAGTGGTTGTAAACCGTGTGTATCGATACCGTTAGCAGCCTGAGCGGATCTTTCCGCGTTGGTATGTTAGATTTTGGATATGATGTTGAGATGTAGACTGGTTGTCTCAGTGTTGGGTTATTCGAGACTACGAATCAACTTTGGTCGGTCAATTAAATTCAAAAAAAAAAAATTGCAAAAAAACCCGACCAAAGTTGGTCGGTATTTTAATTATGTAATCAAAAGATTCACCATCTGGGAATCGAACCGGGGTGTGTACTGTGGCAGGATACTATTCTACCACTAGACCATTGGTGCATTTTGTTTTAAGATGTCTTTTTTATTTATTTATACTCTTTAATTGTATTTTCGCACGAAAATAACCGACCAAAGTTGGTCGGTTTTATTAAAAATAAAATTACCGACCAAAGTTGGTCGGTTTTTTTAATATTAATTTTTATATATTTTAATTGCAAAAACCGACCAAAGTTGGTCGATTTCTTGAAAAATAAATTTAGCGGGACTCAAAAATAGTTTCCCGCACTTTTGCGCCAAAGAAAACCGACCAAAGTTGGTCGGTTTCGTAAAAAAAATTAAAAATTAAAATATTTTAAAAAACTGATCAACTTTGGTTGATTTTTGGCCGGTTTTTTGACGGACCAAAGTTTGTCGGTTTTTGCCGAATTTCTAGTAGTGATATAGCATATAATTAATTGTCTCACAACTATTTATTTAAACTATTTCAAAGCTCACAATCATATTTATAAATTAATATATTTTCACAAAAGTTAGGTTTTGGTTGATGGACTAGTGCGGTCCCTCTGCTTCTTAGTGTGTCTTCCACTATCAAAAAAAGCAAAATAAAGTCACTATAAGGACAACTACAAATAATAGAATCAACTATACCATTCACACAAAACCCAAGAATGGAAGCTCCAATTTTCACAAAACTCATATATTTCTTCACTATTTTTCTTACGTTTTTATTTATAATCACATCTGTAACAGGCCAATCACCATGCAATGGTACAATAGCTGAGTGTAACGAAGAGTTGGAGATATTAATGGAGTCTGATATTAGTAGAAGATTTCTTGAAGAAAGAAAAAAATATATTTCTCCTGGAGCTTTGAAAAGAGATCAACCGGTTTGTAACGGCGGCGGTGGCGGCGAACCGTATTCCCGAAGCTGCCTTCCGCCGCCGTCGAATCCGTATAATAGAGGTTGTTCTAAGTATTATCGTTGTAGAGGTGATCAATGATATATGAAAAAAGGGTGATTCTGAATTTTATGTTTGTTTCTTCTTTCTACTTATGATGTTGTGTTCATGTGGTTGTGATTTGTGGATGAAATTGTTTCTTTCAATGCTAGCTATTGATGTTAATTTTTTTATATTTATAACTATGACGTCCGGATTAGCTTGCACGACCTAGCTATTAATATTAATGTTGATATTTCTTTATGTACTTATTTACACTTGCCAGTAATTTCATTGGATAACAACAAGGAATCTAGGAATTTTTTGCAGAATTTATTTTTGATAGATTTTGTAGTTTTGGAAAACTTCAAGGAGATTTGACATCCGCTTCTTTTCTCTAGTAAGTTATTTGGAACGATAAAGACGTTAATGATAATTTTATACTTCAAACGAGTTCTTTTTTGTACATATGAAGAACTTAGTACATAATTATATTTCTGTTGTTTATTAATGCTAATACATTATCCCGAGAGGGAGGAAGCTCAATAAAACCGCAATTTATCAAGGACGATGGGGAAAAGATAGATTTAATAAGGGAGAAAGTCTAGAAAAGATCATAATTTGGTGAAAAGAGATTAGCAAGAACTATTGACTTAACTTTGTGTCAGAATTATGGGAAAGGAAGAAACAGAGGAAGAACAAAATTTCCATGCCACTAAGAGTCTATTTGGCTTAGCTGATTTAGAGTAGCTGATAAACATTAGGTGCTGAAAAGCACTTTTAAGTGTTGAAGCTGATTTAAAAAATAAGCAGTTACGTGTTTGGATAAAAGTGCTGAAATTAATAATATGCAACTAAAGAACCAGGTATACGAAGAGTTTTGTTTTAAAAAGAAGTATTCTAGGGATAGAATAGTAAATATTTTGGTCAAACTTAAAGTGCTTATAAGCTGAAATTTGATAAGTTGGGGGAGACCAACTTATGACTTTTGGCTTATTTTTGGCTTATAAGCACTTAACTTATAAGCACTTTTAATTTTACCAAACGCGTAGATAAGCCAAAAAGTTCTTATAAACCAGTTTGACTAGCTTATAAGCTTAGCCAAACACCCTCTAAGGTATTTAATATATTTCAACAGCATATCAAGCTTGTTGAAACTCATTTTGGATACTTAGAATAAGAATGATCCACGTCTCCCAGCAAAGATAAAACATTATCATGTTGGTCTAAATATAACAGATGGATCCCTATCTTCTTTACTGTAATGTCTTCAAACCCCACTTCTATCGTTTCCCCGCCTTTGATCATCTGGCCATCAAAAAGGTTTATTTAAGTAAGATATGTAATGTACACATGACACTTCTCCATAAGTACGATATGTAATGGTCCCAATATATAAGTCTTTTTATGGGCAATACTAATCCACAAGCATGGATAAGGGGTTGCATCCAAAGTGTCGGTAACAAACCAGAGAACCATTCCTAAGAAGTTATACTCATTATTATGTGTCGGCATAGTCAAACACATAGATGAAGTTGTTACTTGATTCCTGCACCATTCTGGAATCTCATTGCATTCGAGACAAATTTTAATAGCATCCTGCATCGGACAAAGACTCAAGATCACTAATATGAGAGAGAGAGAGAGAGAGAGAGAGACTAACCTTATTCAGAAGTCTAATAATATGTTGATCTTTTTCAGATAGAAATGATAGAGCAGGTGCACTAAAGAAGCCTTCATTGAATTTGTTCTGCAGAGAACTACAATTAATCATGTTGATCGACCATATAGAAGGGAGGTTGTCCAACTCTATAATCTTGACCAATTTTTGGCAATTCTCAAGTTCAATAATCGCAAGATTCTCTAAATTTGATACTGACGGGAGTGTTTGAAGATTCTCACAGTCATTCAAACATAACTCTTCCAATAATTGTAACTTAGAAAAATCAAAGGGTAGACAACAGAAACTGTTGCCACTCAAATCTAAATATTCTAAGGAGGATAAGCTCCCAATATTCCTAGGAATATCAGCCTCGGACAAATTACAGTATATAAGCCTCAATACGGTCACAAAAGTTGACAAGGAATATTGTATCTGATGGACTCCTCTTCCAGAAATACTCCTTTTGGCCTCTAACTTTCGACCTCCCACTCCCAATGCTTCAAGATTTCTTAGCATTTCAACAGATCTAGGCAATTGTTTTATACCCGTATCAACTGCAGAAAGAAATCTTAGACTTTTCATATCTCCAAGGTTATCTGGCAGTGTTTTTATTGATGAGCAGTCACTAATGCTCAAGTAATTAACGGATATTAGCTGGCATATGCTGCTTGGAAGATCCGTAAGTTTTTCGCAACCAGATATATATAGTTCAATTAGTCTGGACAAATTTCCTATTGATGGATGGATCTCCGTCAGACCTGAGCATTCATAGAGATACAAAGTCTCAAGACTCATTGAACCATTCAAGTTTGGAGTGCTTCTGAGTTGCTTGCAATGAGAGAGATCCAGTTTCTTCAAACTTCTACAACACTAAAAGTAAACCAAATATAGTTTCAATTAACATTTTCTTTCACTTAGTGGCAAAGAGTACACATGAAATTGTAATAGTGTGTAACAAACCTGCAAATTCAATTGAAATTCTTGGATATCACTCCCCCGCATATCTAGAACTACAAGATTCACAGCTGGAAAATTTGATGGTATACATTTTAAAGGACATCTTTTCCAAGACAACCATCTGAGCTCCTTGGATAACAGCTCAAAATCTCCACTAATATGTAACTCATCCATTATAAGAACCCTAAGGCTTTTCATTTTCTTAAATGCTTTGGTGCTCAAGTTCAGTCCCTCAAATGCTAGTTGATTTACCTTCAGTACTTCTACCTTTTTGGACCCCTGTAGTTTGGAGAAAGATTAGTATCTTAAGACCATCTTAAGTCCCAGAAATTAAGAGGGAAAAATGCTTTATACCAATTCAAGGTCAAACAAAGAGGTTACACCATATGTATCAAGCAGTGTTATCAAAGGCGAAAAGCGCAAAAAACCTCTAAGGTCTGTTGGGCTTTAAGCGCAAATAAAGCGTGGGCTTTAATGAAAAAAGGCGCAACTGGAGGAAAAGTAAAAATATGTATCTGTAGTCTGTTGGACTTTAAGCCATTGGGCTTTAAAGTAGAAGAAGTGTGAATTGGAAATGGAGGGAAATAAAATGGAGGGAAAAATGAAAATTTGAAGAAGTGAACTTTTGTCTTGCACTTTGTCCCTCATTGGTGAGGAACAGTCACATTTGTGTGCTTATATATAGAATCACTTCTTAAAGCTCTTAAAAGGAGTTGAAGAGAATGAACCCTCGCGCCGTCGTCGTCGCTCGCTCGGCTTCGGCTTCGGCTTCGGATTTGTCAATCGATCGATAAGATTTTTTTTTTGGACAAAATTTATTTAATTATTAATAATTAATTAAATGCCAAATCACTGCTGAAAATACGCCAGAACCCTGCTGAAGATTCAGAGGGACTCTCTGGCCGCGGTTCTGCCGTAACCGCGGTAGAACCGCGGCAGGCAGATTCAGAGAGCCTCTCTGACCGCGGTTCTGCCGTAACCGCGGTAGAACCGCGGCAGGCAGCGTATTCTTCTGAAAAGGTACCTTTTCCAGACACCTCTTCTGATAATTGCCTATAAATTCTGAGGCAAGGCTCCATTTTCTAAACACGAAAAACACTTCAGAACTTCTTTCTTTTTGAATATACTGCATCCTAATTCGCAGTCTCTCTCTCTCCAATTCGTAAGTGTGATTTTGCTCCGTTCTTTGAGTTCCTTGGGATCCCGGAGTTTGTATTGCCACTGTTGCAGAAAGGTTTATTCCGTTTTATCCTGGGAGGATTTAATCCATTACCTTGGCAACTTGTGAGGGGGTTAAAATTCCTTAAGGACACACAAGAAACTTGTGGACTCGGAATATTTCTGATTCTCTACTATTTTCCAGCTTTCTTTAATTCTTCTAACAATTTTTTTTCCTGATTTTGTGTTTTAACACAGTAACGCTCACAAGCTTAAGGAATTTTATACTAACGTTTCTGTGTTGAAACATATATTAAACTGTTATTCACATTTGTATACTGTTTTGGAGACTAAAGCCTTCGTGCTTTCTACTCCAATAATTGTTCTATCCGGTTTAAAGTATATAAAAACTTTACCGGAATAATAAACGTACGGGTTTGAAGTATATAAAAACTTCACCACTGTTACGTGTTGTATGGTTGGTTTGGTATTCAGTTTGAAGATATCAAAACTTCACTGATTTAACAAAGTTCTGTTGTGTTTCCAACTCTATAGAAAAGATGACGAACGAAAACCAAACTAATGGAAATATTGTGGGAATGGGAGCTACTGTTACGAGTGCTGCTGCCTCGTCAAGCCGTTCTACTCCTGCTCATGCTATGGCACCAGCAGAAAAACCCGGAAAGTTTTCCGGTATTGACTTCAAACGTTGGCAAATGAAGATGCTCTTCTATCTTACTACGTTGAGTTTGCAACGTTTCATCAAGGAGGATCCTCCGGTCTTGGCAGAAAGTACTCCGGATGATGAACGACTTGTTGTAACTGAAGCATGGAAACATTCTGATTTCTTGTGCAAAAACTACATTTTGAGTTGTTTGGAAGATGACTTGTACAATGTCTATAGCGTCATGGAAACTTCAAAAGCATTATGGAATGCGCTTGAGAAGAAGTACAAGACTGAGGATGCCGGACTTAAGAAGTTCGTGGCTGCTAGATTTTTGGATTTCAAGATGATTGACACTAGGTCGGTCATAACTCAAGTCCAAGAATTACAAGTCATTGTGCATGACCTCCTTGCTGAAGGTATGACCCGAATCAATAAGTTTATTAATAAGATTTATCTTATTATTAATTTTGAATCTATTGCTGAAGGTATGGTCATAAATGAGGTCTTTCAAGTTGCCGCTATCATTGAGAAATTACCTCCGTTGTGGAAAGATTTTATGAACTATCTAAAACACAAGCGGAAGGAGATGAAACTTGAAGACTTGATTGTGCGTTTGAGGATAGAAGAAGACAACAAAAATGCTGAAAAGAAGTCACGTGGGAACTCGACAATAATGGGGGCTAACATTGTTGAGGAGGCGCCACAAACCAAGAAGAGAAAGAAGGCTTCTGGACCAAATAACTACCCAAGCAAGAAGAAGTTCAAGGGTAATTGCCACAACTGTGGAAAATCTGGGCATAAGGTCGTGGAT